TTCGTATATTGGGCGACCCCAGTGGTTCTGAGAAAAAAAGTATCGACCTATTATCCGAAAATTACGGTAATCATCGGCTTTTATTTTCCATCTTCAACTTCACACAGTTCACAAGAAGTCCACGTCCTTGTCCTGTCAATCAAAATAATTCAGCACAGTGGAGGTGTGGAAATCTCGTTTCACAGAGCATGCCAAAGGCAAAGTGTCACTAAGTATTTCCAAGAAGTTTTAATATTTTTCCCTATCATTTCTAGATCTGATTTTTGCATTCCTGCAGAAAAGAAATAAATTAAAAATAATGGGAATATATACTTGGAAGGATTAAGTTTGAAATTGAATTTGAAACATATTCCCTGTCAATTCAAAATACTACTGTCGGCACATGTATATTTTGAAATACTGTAGATCACTATATTTTCGCGGCACCTTATTTTCGCGAATTAGCTATGTGGTATTTATATGCGAGACAAAATTTTAGCGAGTTGTGGTTTCTGTTTTATATAAATATTACAAATATATGTGAGAATAAAATTTTCGCGAGCGGACAGACTCGCGTAATTACATGAAAATAAAGTTCTCGTGAACAAAAAGTGTTTTACAGTACTATTGTTTAATGACTGATGTTCATTTTAAGACTGATTTTCTTGTGTTACAATACACATTAAATGTCAATTAAAATATTCTGGTCTGGATATACTAACTAAGAATTTGATATCGGGAGAAAAGGCGCCGGGGGCTCTTAATTATACTGAATATATATTTTAGATAGATATATTTAGATATATTTAGATATATAAATAGATATATTTAGGTACGATGAATGAAGGAATTTTCCCTCTCTAATAATAAACTTAACGTAAAGTACAAAATATTCTAATGTATAACATTTTAAACAGTTGGTCTTTCCTAAAATTTAAAATCACGCTATTAATTTAATTAGCTCTAGAGATATTTAATTAACTGAATGTCTGCAGTACTGTTCATAATTCTCAGACCTGCATGTAGTTCTAATATGTTTTCGTGCATTTTTTTTTAAAATGCGGGTTAGAAATATTTTTTTTGTGTTTTCTTTTCTTGTAAAAGACTTGGATTATTATCCATCCATTAATGATTTGTTGTCTTTTGCGTAACAACAAGATGTCGCCATGCGTGAAGCATTTGTGCATTTCCCTTTTTTTTAAATTTAATATTTTAGCATCATTCTACATACATGTAGGTACTTAGTGTATTATTTTCCAGGTAAATTTCACAGATAAATTAACAGCTAAATTATAATAATAGAAATATATAAATATCATAGATAATTTTTGCAATGAAATAATTATTCTTCAAACACGATATCTTAGTTATTTAATTAAAAAACGTGTAAATCCTAACCATCAATAAGATAAGTCCTTTCACTTCGGAGTTCCGAATGACAATGAAGACTGAACGATAGGTGAACGGTGAATGCAAGGTGAACGCAAAGTAAACAGAACGAAGAACGAATGGTGAACGTTTTGTGAACGGTGAATGCAAGTGGACGGTGAACGCAAAACTGTGAACGGAGAGCAAACGGTGAACACATGCTGAACGAACGGAAAAATGGGAAAGTAGAACGTTTCAGGGACTGTAAATATATTTTCATTCCCAAGTAACTATAAGCCCTAACTGAACCAAACTTGCATGGATGATGCATCTAGGGATAAACACAACCAGACTTGCTTCAGATCTGGATCTGACCTATATTTTCATTCCCAAGTAACTATAAGCTCTACCTGAACCAAACTTGCATGGATGATGCATCTAGGGATAGACACTACCAGACTTGCTTCGGATGCTGGATCTGACCTATATTTTCATTCCCAAGTAACTATAAGCCCTAACTGAAACAAACTTGCATTGATGATGCATCTAGGGATGGACACTACCAGACTTGCTTCAGATGCTTTATCTGACCTATATTTTCCAAGCAAGAGACCAGGTTAAAGTTTTGGAAACAGATCTATCCCAGTGAATTTGAAGTTCTTGATATCTACAGTATTAACAAAGTTTTGAATATTTGTTCACACTATGCATGTTTTTTTCACGCTACATGTGTAGAAATGTGCATATGCCACGTAAGGGGTTAAAAACAACTTTAAGAATATTGTTGTTGGGATAAATACTAAATATAATGTGAGATTTGTATTTAACTTACACTGATAACATTCGTCGAGGTGAGCTTCGTAATCTTTGATTACCTATGTTTTATTAAAGACATCATTTCTAGACATTTTTATCAATTTTCATATGTTGATACATACTGATGAAAGATGTGCAACTGCATCAACATTTCTGACCTTGACTTTCCTTTGACCTTGACTTCACTTTTCCTAAATCAGTGTCAAACTTGCTGATACATACTGATGTAAGCAATTCAACTGCATCAACAATTTTGACCTTGACCTTTTATTTGACCTTGACTTCACTTTTATCAAATTGTGTATAAGTCAGTCTTTAATTAAAGACATCATTTCTCGATATTTTTAACTTCTTATGTTGATACATTTTGATGAGAGATATGCAACTGCATCAACATTTTTGACCTTGACCTTTGCTTTAACATTGACCTCACTTTTCCTAAATTAGTGTCAAACGTCATAAGCTGATAGATATTGAGGTAAGCATTTTAAGTGTTTCATCATTTTTTACCTTTTTCTTTCATTTGACCTTGACCTAACTTTTATCCATTTTTGTTCAAGTCAGTTTTAAAAAACATTTATAATTATATTTTCAGCTTCATTTGCTGATACTTACTGATGAGAGCTTTTAAACTGAATCAACAGTTTTTGACCTTGGTATTTCCTTTGACCTTGACCTCATTTAATGAAATTAGTGTCAATCTTCAAATGCTGATACATACTAATGTAAATAATTCAACTGCATCACTATTCAAGATATTCTGATCAAATTTTATACACATACAAATTTTCATGTTGCTTTACTAATATATCCTCGGTGGGGCATTCATGTCCTATGGACATATTTCTAGTTTAACGGGTAATTCAGATATCCGGATGCTTCACATATCCGAACAATTGACTAGGAACCAAAGCGTCCGGTTAAATGAGGCTCCACTGTATACCACTGGGCCAGGAAAGCTGAAACTTACATGGAAGCATTCTTAGGTAGTGTAGATTTTAAATTGATAAACCATGACCTCCAGGGGTAGGGCGGGGCCACAATAGGGAATCCAAGTTTTACATTTATATATATCCTAATTTTTATTTAAAAATCTTCATCTCAAGAATCAAAAAGCCAAGAAAGCTGAAACTTTTGTGGAAGCATCCTCGGGCAGTAAAGATTTAAAATTGTTAAAATCATGACCCCTGGGGGAAGGGCAGGGCAATAATAGGGAATCCAAGTTTTACATAGAATGAAATATATATGAAAAATCTTTAAAAATCTTCTTCTCAAGAACCACTGGGCCAGGATAGCTGAAACTTATGTGGAAGCATCCTTCAGTAGTGTAGATTTTAAACTGATAAAATCATGACCGCCGAGGGTAGGGCGGGGCCACAATAGGGAATCCAAGTTTTACTTAGAAATAGATATGAAAAATCTTAAAAAATCTTCTTTTCAAGAAACACAGGGCCAGGAAACTTATGGAAGCACCCTAGGGTAGTGTAGATTCGAAAGTATTAAAAATCATGACAGGGGAGAAGGGTAGGGGACCACAATAGGTATAACAAGAGGGGAAGTCTGGTCAAGAACTGCATCACCCAAGTTTTTCAGGTGAGCGATCAGTGGCCCATGGGCCTCTTGTTTTTGTCATAAAAAAATGAATCTTCAAGCACGGTAACTTAGTAATTAAATTTAAAAATGTGTACGTGTAAATCCTTACCATCAAAAAGGTAAGTCCTTTCACTTCGGAGTTCCAAATGACAATAAAGACTGAACGATAAGTAAACGCTGAACGCAAGGTGAACACAAAGTAAACGGAATGAAGAGCGAACGGTGAACGCAAGCGCATGGTGTACAGTGAGCGCAAAACTGTGAACGGAGAGCAAATGGTGAATGCACGCTGAACGAACGGTGAATGCATGCTGAAGGAGCGGTGAGCGAATGGAAGAATGGGAAAGTAGAATGTTTCAGGGACTGTAATAAAGTCAAAGTCAACCTTTTACATAAAAATAAAGTTTAATCATAACTGGCGACCTTTCTGACATTAGGATTTCAAACTTGGAACAAGTAAAGACAACATTAAGACTAAATGCACTGCATCAAAATGTTTCACCTTGCTGGCTTTCTTCATGCAAGGTCAAATCGAGAAAAACAAGATCAGACCATAAATTATAAGATCCTTTTGACTTATGCCCTGTTCACACGGAGAGTTTAATTCACAGTAAATTAATGCGAAGTAAACTAATGCGAATCAAACTAATGTGAATTAAATTGCGTTCACACGACAGCTAATACGAAGTAAACTCATGTGAATTAAAATTTTACTTCTGCAGCCTGGCATCAGCACGGCTATTATGATGTCATTTGCAAATCATGTCACCTTATGCAGAAGCAGATCCATTTGACATAATGGAAAAGTGTATGTATACACATTTTAATGAAAAACAAAATACTCCGTAGTTTTTCACTCAAAAATAGCACAAGTACCTATAGCTGACCACCGATAAGTGGAATTTTACTAAATTTTGCCATTACGCATTCTTCAAAATTTAATTCGAATTAGCTTCGCTTAGCATTCACATGGAGCTAATGCGAAGTAATTTAATGCGCAATAAACTAATTTGAATTAAGCTAATTCACATTAAATTCTCTGTGTGAACGCTAAGTGAAGCTAATTCGCAGTAACTTTACGTTTAATTCGAATTAAACTCGTCGTGTGAACAGGGCATTAAAGACTTGAAAGATGCACTGCATTAGTATTTTTGGCCCTGATTGTAAAATTGCACTTGTTAATTTGATAAAGAAGGGACCCACTAATTTTACATATTTTATCATTTTTGGATTTTTTTTTTCAGGCATCAACTCCATCCTGTGTTGATATCAATGAAAAATTAGATGCAACAATGAGAACTTCTGAAATGTGGGAGGCTCATGCAGTGAGTTTGGTTCTAAACCCCTTAAAGCTAAATAAGACTCCTAAATAAATTAATTGGCCTATTCCCAAGACGAAGCTCAAAATATAAAAATTTTCCATACAGAAAAATTTATTAAATACAAACTTCAGTTTTAATTTCAATTTAACTTTTTGCAAAAATTAGCTCAGAAAATGAAAAGTGAAAAAATGAAAAGAAAATGGAGAATAAATGTGAAATAGAGGCAATTAAATTGTAATGGTCAGTGTTGTATATTGCAGATTATTGGTGCTGATCAGTTTTACAGAGAGTGTATTGTGGACAAAATGGGTTTCCAGCTGACAGGATATGACACAGCTCTGACGTATGGCTGGGAAATTCCTGTGTATCCTTATGATTTCTATGTACAGTAAAACACAGTAATAGCAAAGTGATTTTTATTCCATATTGTATTCATGCAGGCATGAAATGAACTTATGCAATATAACATAAACCTCAAAAGGCATTTTGCTGTAAGCATGTTTTACTGCATACAATAGGAACTAGTGCAGATGTGTATGAACAATGCAGATGGTAAAGCAGCAAAGCTAAAGTGGTAATTCAAAATTAAGTTATAATTTTCAATAACAACTGTTGAATATTAAGATTCATTAATGCATTGTTTAAGTCTCCAAGTACAGTATATATAAAAATTATCTAAAAAGAAAATTTCGTTTTCTTGAATTATTATTAGATATGAACAGATTTTTCTGGATGCCTTGCCAGCAGATGAAAAACCTCTAAAACCTGAAAAGTATGTAAACCCTCTAAATCCAAGCAAATCCAAGTGAAAAGCTCAAGTGATCTTTTCTGATCAACCTATTGTCCATTGTCTGTCTGTCCATCTGTAAACAAAGTTATATTTTTAACTTCTCAAAAACCACTGGCCCAGTTTTAACCAAAGTTGGCATATCCCTCTATGTGAAGGGGATATTACATTTTAAAATGAGCCGCCCCCCCCCCCCCCCCCCCCCCCCTTTACAAGAGGAGATAATCAAAAAAAGACAAAATTAGAGTGAGTACATTAAAAGTCTTCACAAACATTACAGAGCCAAAATAGATGAAACTTATTTGAAAGCATCCTGGGGTGGGGCAAATTCTAAATTGTTCAAATCGTGGCACAGAAAGGAGTTGGAAGGGTAAGGATTGGGGAATAGAGTTTGGAAGGGCCAAAGAGAGAATCAATGTTTTACATTGAAATATGTAGATTTATTGATTGTATACTGTTTAACTTCCCTCTGGAGAATATTTCACTCATATGGAGATGCCACCACTTGCCGGTGGAGAGCTGCAAATTTTGTCCTATACTTGGCCCTCAGGGCCATTGAGCAGGGAGGGATCTTTTTCTTGCCAGCACCTACTGCGACAGGGGGCCTCGGTTTATACAGTCTCATCCAAAGGACCAGTCTGTATGTCCCACAGTGGGATTTGAACCTACGACTTAAAGATCAACTGCTTACTTCGCGACTCTAGAGCAGACGCTCTAACCACTGCACCACGCAGGCGGCAAAATATTTAGAAAAAATCTTCTTCCGACCACTGGGCCAGAAGAGCAGAAACTTATGTGGAACCATCCTGGGGTAGTGTAGATTCTGAATTGTTCAATGTTTTGCCCCAAGGGGTAGGGTTGGACCAAGTAGGTATTATAAATGGAACTGGTAAAATATGGACTTGCTTCGAATGCTGAATCTAACCAACATTTTATTGAGGATTGAACAGGTTAAATTTTTTGGAGCAGGTTCAATCTAAAGCAGGTATATATGCCCTATGTTTGAGCAAACTTGCATGTATGATACATCTAAGGTACACACTAATGGGCTTGCTTTAGATGCTGGATCTGACATACATTTTCAAGATAATGGACGAGGTAAAAGTTGTGGGTGCAGGTCTATCACCAAGAAACTATAACGCCTACATTGTGTATTAACCAAACTTGCTTAAATTATGCATCAAGGGTTGAACACTCTCAAACTTGCCTCACATGCTGGATTTGAATTACATTTTCTTGATGGGCGACTAGTTTGAAGTTTTTAGCTCTACTGGTCAGAGACCAGAAGAGCTTATGTGATGGTTAGGTGTCCTGCATCCATCCGTCTGTCTGTCTGTCCATCTGTCTGTAAGCAATTTTTCAAAAACACTACTCCTCCCCCAGTTTTGGTCTGATTTCAGATTACTTAGCACACAAGTAGACTACACTGAGATCATAAAGCAGTGCATCGATTTTTGATATCGATGAATGGTGTTGCTATTGCTACTAAAAATAGAAATTTGAGTGACATTCCTTTAAGGTATGTCACTCATGAAATTTGTTAAATCAAGGATTATTTGAGAAGTATATTTTAGATAAGTACTCATATAGTGTGACTCAAAATCGCAGAGAAAATAGGGGGTCAGTGTGCATCTTATTGATCTATGGTACAATTAAGTTGACCTTTTTATACCCCCTGCAAACAAAGTTTAGGGGGGGTATATTGGAATCACCATGTCCGTCTGTCCGTCTGTCTGTCTGTCTGTAGACGAGATTTTGTGTGGACCATTACTCAGAAACTATTAGAAGGATTTGTCTGAAAATTTGTACAAATATTATTCACCATATGAAGTAGTGCACCTGATATTTTCATCTTGATTTGATTATTATTTTGAATTTTACTGGTGTTTTTTCAATTTTTATTTTGTGGTTTTGTCCGGACCGTTTCTCAGAAACTATTGCAAGGATTAATCTGAAAATTTGTACACTTATTATTCACCATATGAAGGTGTGCAATTGGAATTTTCAACTCTTTTTGTTCAATTTTTTTTTGTTTTTTTTTTGCATTTTACAGGTTTTATTTTTTATTTTAATTGACTTGTTCATTTTGGGCTCATGTATAAGGTTTGAGACATAGAATCTAGAATATCTGTACAAAAATACTACAGCTTAAAACTGCTCATATAAACTTAAAAAAAGAAACATCATCAAGTGTTAAAAACAGTTTTTACATTGCACAGAAGATAATGTAAATTCATTTGTCTCTTGGGAATAATGACTGGACATGCATCCAGTTAAAGATAAATTAATGAGTTTGGTGTGGGAAGTTGAACATTAAGGCATCTCATTATCAACCATGTGTAATCTCCTGGGAATCAGGCACAAGAATTAAAGATCTCTCTTCTCTTATTCTCTTAATTGTAATTTATTGTCTGTCAAAGCACTTCATTACTGAATGACCAGCTCTTTATTTTCAAATGAATTTGATATAAAGTTATCAAGATTAATTTGGTTTTGTATAATATGATTTTTTTTTTTCAACAATCAGTTTGCAGAGTGACATAACACATAATTGCAATATATTTTTTTAATGCAGAAATAAAAAAAAAAATAATTTAAAAAAAAAAATTAAAAAAAATAATGTTACAATGGAATTACAATGTATTAGTATTGATGTTTCATTTGGTTGCACCTTTGTTTCATTCATTAAGAAACATGATGAGTAATTATATTTCACTGCAAATTTTTGTAAGCAAATTGTAAACACCTCTAGATCCATAAAGTATTTTTGAATTGGCACCTTCTCTGAAAAACCCAGCAGGGGGTATTTGTCCCTATTGGACAGTTGTAGTTGCACTTAAATTTAAACTCGTTGGTTAATTACTTTAACCTTTATCATATTTTATCAGATGTAACCATGGCATTAAATAAAATTTTATTTTACGTAGTGACAATGAGCAAAGATAGATAACTCTGACTTGTAAGTGGGAATAGAACTTTCGAGATAAAGGCGGAGGTAGTATCCATGACGTCGCAGACGTCTATATCCACACTTTTCACATAAAAAAATATTTAGACTTTGAGTTTCCATATCCACTTCTGCATGAAAGATTACGTTGGTTACTGCTTTCAGTATATGCATAGTTTAAAGTTGTCAGCGTAGTGTAAATCTGTAATGTCTGTTATGATTATATTTAAAAAAAATATTCTTAATTCATTCTCTAATTTGAATGCGAAATTATCCCGGAATCCGAGTTTTATTTTCGATTCTAAAATATTATATGTACTCAAAAGGGAACTGAGAGATAGAAGAGTAATGTAATACCGTTGTAAAGCCTTTAGAAATAAATTGATATCTGCAACTTAAAAGAAAGAAAATCAATCTATAGATTGGATTTGGTTTTAACACGTATATTTCATTGATTAAAAGTCTTATAGTGTTATTTATTATACATGATCTATACTTTTATATACCCGAGAAGTTATTAAAGATGAGAAAAAGCGATTCTTGGATTTTTGTGAAATACTTAAGTACTCAAAGGGTTAACATTATGTGAAAGTTACGCGTTTCTGTGTGAAATAATGCTACGCTAAAAACATGATACAAAAACATCTGCAAAGGTCTGTTGATATGTTAGATAAAGTATACGAATGAACACAATTTTATGCAATGCTATATAATTATATGTATGTACATGTAACCTTAAGTATTTTCCTTTTAATTCATAAACATAAAATTACCGAGTATGTAATTCTTTTGAAGCCCCCCCCCCCCCCTCTTGATTTTATTCGGAGACATTATTGCAACTATAGGCCTTTGAATTATAAATTTGTTATACAATTAAATCTGGAACATTTGATTATAATTACCATTAACATGTATACAGAATTCATATTCTATAATAGTAGATTTTTCATTACGCAAGATACTGAAATTTACATGTCTGAGAGAGAGAGAGAGAGAGAGAGAGAGAGAGAGAGAGAGAGATATTCCCTTTTAATCCTGATTATCCTATCCATTTACATAGACAAAAAATCAGTTCTATATCAGTTGTACCCATTCTTTATTAAATATTTTCTGATTTCATAGTCCGTCATAGTCACTTTCTGTATATTTTTTCTGCTTAAGAAGTATTACACTCAGTGTACATGTATTGACCTGTCAATCAAAATCACCCCACGCTGTATGCATTGCAATAAAGTTGTTCGAAATGATTTTTATTATTAAGTATGATCTTTAAGAAAATCTGATGCAACAAATTTGAGAAATGAAAAATAAAATAAAAGCATGGCAAGAGCATCATATATCTGTATTATGGACTTCAGTTGTGGGACGTGGAGACCGGTCCGTCAGATGAGATCGTTTAAATCGAGGTCCCGTGTGTCAGATGGTACTGACTCGAAAAGATTCCTCACTGCTCAATGGCGATTAGAGCCAAATTATAGGACAACATTTTGCAGTCTCCACCGGCGAGTGGAGGCTTCTCCATGTGAAAAATTCTCGAGAGGGACATTAAACAACATATAATCAATTCATCGATTGCTGAATAATTCCTGTAGTTGAATAATCTTTCTGCTGACAAATCTCGATAGTATTACTGTAAAAATCAACGACTTTACGTTTAATATGGTACTAACTTAGTTCATGACATTTTTATAACACCATCACAATTGTGCCAGAACATAAACACAGTGAAGTTTATGAGAGTAGGGTGTTCGTTCGTCCGTTGGTTTGTCTATGATACACGTGTAGCTCTTATGAAGAACAAGATTGGTCATGAAAATCAAAGTACCTTAAGTACTGAAAGACCTTTTTGCAGTTTTTTTTTCTTTCAGAGTACATATGATATCTATGTTTTTTGCAGAGAAAAAAAGCAAATTCTTACAGATTTAGAAGAACGGAAGACTTATTTGTTGCCATGGCAACAAGATTCTAGTTAAGGTCTTCCGTCTTCACGGAAGACCTTATAGTGATTCTACTGTTTCTTATTATTAAGGTCTTCCGT